AGAGGATGTAAATTCTATTAGGAGATGATTAAAGTTGATCTTATATAAAATTCTATGTGAAACTAAAACAACCTGTTCTTAATTCTGTTAGTTATTCTAAAATTTATCAAATTTATTGTAATTTGAAATTTATTGTTCAACTTTCATATGAAATTCCGTATAGAGGGTTTTCCCCATCTTGTAGTTGGACGGAGGGTAAGTACGTAAAAGAATTCTAACAAATTTTTCTTAATTTGTCCCAAATGTAGTTTTACATCTTGTTTGGATCGTGGTAAATGATAGTTAATTAATGTCTGATACTCCACGAGCAGGAAAAAATCATGTTTGTTTTAATTTCTAAGCGGATGAGATAGTAACAAATGACATCTGACTGACAAATTTGGGATAAATTTTAAAATCACTAAATTGGTGATATGTGACCGACCATTAATTTTTTTTCCATTATACCCTCATAAAATATACTTAATTTTAGTTACACCATCAAATAAACATCCTATTTCTCTTATCTTTTCCTCAAATTAACTCATAATATGTGATTATTTCAAACACATTTTAATTTTTTATTTGTTGAAATAATTTTAGATTTAATATAATAATATATAATTATAACTATTTATTTTTAATATATAAATAATTTTATTTGTATTAAAATTAAATTAATGTGATACTATAAATAATAATTATTTATTTCATTAAATATAAAAATTTAATTTGATTATGTGTAATAATTATTTATTTAAATACAAATTTCATATTATTATTATATAATTTATTTATTTTTTCATTACATATTTCTTATATATTATTTATTATTATATATAATAGGTAGGAGTAAATTAATAATTTGATTAAAAATACAATTATACTATTCTATCATCAAAATAAACAATTGTCATTAACATACATTAATACACAACCATTCAAATATAAAAAAATTTTGTCATTCCCATCTTATATTATTATCATCCAATTACTATTATTGTCATACATTAATTATCCATCACTAAAATTTATCCAAATAGGGTGTTAAAGTTTTTTTATGATTTCTTTACCAAAGAAAAAAAGTGAATATTAACATTAGGGACATGCACAAGCATATCCTTATATGCCTTATTTTTTTAAAAAAAAAAAAGTTTTGGAAATCTTTTGAAGGGTTTGATGGTGAGTAATAACTTGGATACTTTTCTCTTCAAGAACTCTTGTTTAGGTAGTACATCCTATCAATTCATATGTTTTGATGAAGGATTTAAATCCTTTCATGTTTCAGCAGTATTATAGTGTTCAAACTCTTTTTTAACAATTCATTATTTCATTTCTTATTAATCATGTATCCTTAATTTTTTTTTGTGCTGCTGAGAAGTGTAGAGATGCAGCTGTTTTTGCATCACTCTTGATGGAATAGTTAAGTATTTTAATTTATTTGGTTCCTTTTTTTATTTTGCAGGTTTTCGTTGACAATATTGATTTCCTCAAGGAGTTAGAGTGAGTTTTACAGAGTCATATGTGAATTTTGAAAATGGCAATAGTCAATCTGCTGCATCCAGGAAAAAGTGGTTCTTTTAGGTGTCTGGAGAGGGTATCAAATCCCATTTTGTAGATAAAGTCAGCATCGTTTAACATTTCCCGGGCCAATGAACATCTTGCTATTGCTATTAATCTTGCAGCAGAGAAGTCAGGGTCTGAGACATTAGTTTTGAAGTACCCTTAGTCTCTTGTTCAAGCAAAAAGAAATTTACTTTCGACATTGTTGATGTGATTCTACTCATCTGGAGATATGAATTTGTATTATAATTTAGTCTGAGATGGAGATGACTAATATATATTGTAGTCAACAATTAATTCCCAAGCTATCATCTTCAATGCTGAGTGCAGAAACTTTTGCAATGGGTTGGCCAGTTTGAGCTTAGGATAAGGTTGACAACATGATTATGAAATGGTTTGCAATGTGGATAGAATGGTAAGTGAAAGTTTGAAGTGTTGTTGATTTAGATTTTGTTTCTTCTTTGTCCATAATAAATAAAAGTTACGTGGGAAGAAACAGGAATTTATTTATCAACAAAGATACAAAGTTATACACTATATAATTAAAATTAATATCTATAAATATAAATTTAGGGGAATCAAAATTAGAGTAGAATGATTAAAAGATAAGTATAAAATTTTATTTGAAATTAGAATAAATAAATTATAGTGTGAGGAATAAATTTTACATAAATTATGCATTTCTTTCAAAATAGGTTAGTTAGGCCTATGTTTCGCAATTTAGTTAAGGTATGAATAGAATTACTTTTTTTTTATTATTATTTTTAAATTTTATAATAAAAATGTCATTAATGTTATAGAAAATATTATATTTTAATGAAAAAACAATAATATAAATATTATGGTTTTTCTTTTTTTATTATTGTTAAATAATAGAAAAGAATTTAGATATATATACATACATCGTGTAAAGAAGAGCCTTATCACCGTCTTTCTTAATTCCTTAAACAGTCAAATAAAAACAAAAACAAAAACAAAAAAAAAAAAGTAAAATTGTTATTTATTGATTCTTAACAAATTCTAAAACCCACAGGCTTTTTTTTTTTTTTTTTTTTTGTGGAAAAATATTTTACAGGATGACGTGGTGAGACATGATTGGCCAGCTGAAACCCTACACCCTAAATCAGTAAGGAACAGATTTTGCCAGCGAGCAGATCTCTGGACTGAAGTAGTATTTACACAGTTTTTTTGGTTCGCCCGGAGGGGGCGAGAGAAGAAGAAGAAGTAGAAAGGTACGGACATGGATACTCACAAGTCTAGGAAAGAGAAACCACAACAAGAACAAGAAGAAGATCGACAACAACAGAATGCAAACGCAAAGCGAAAGCGAAAAGAGGTTTTTCCCTTCGGGAATTACAGAAATTACTACGGCTACCGTGTAATTACCTCTTCTTTCACCCTTTACTCTTTTCCATATCTCCTGTTTTCGATTCCTTAACCCACATAACTTAATGTATCGTCATTTGCTCTCAATTTTTTCAACAAGTATGTTATTGGTTTTGTGCGGAGTCGCTTGTTAGCCTTTCTTTTTGAATTAGTTAATTACATGACTGTAGATATTTTGTTCCTTATTCAATAATCTACTTGGGATAGGACATATATTAATTTTAGGACTCTTTCTTCTCAATTTCTTTTTTCTTTTTTACTTTTATCGAATAATGTTGTTCGCTGACCTCTACGATGTATCAGATTGGTCATGATATGGAAGAAGATCCTCGGCTTAAGGTTTTGAAGAAGGAGTGGTTCGAGGGCAAGGATTGCCTTGATATTGGCTGCAACAGTGGCGTTCTAACTATCCATATTGGTAATAATTCCTATATCTTAATGAATTACTATTAGTTTTAAGGTTTTCAAAATTCTAATCTTACTCAATGGGAATATTAATGTTGTATAAATGTGAGAAGCTGTTGGAACGAATATAAAATTTCAATTACTATGCAATTCTTGTTTGTTGATTTGTATTCTTATTTGGTCCGAACAGAAATCTATCACCATGAAATTCAATACAGGAGTGCGATTTCTTTAATTTTAAATCATGAACATTATAATCTAAGCCTACATAAAGAGACTTGGATCAAATGTATTATTATTACAGTCGTCTTCTTTCTAGTGAACGGTTCGTGCATTTGAACCATGCACTGTTTAAGGAACCAGAGTTGGTTAAAGTATTAGTCCTCTCTACATTCTAATGTCTTTTCTTCTAAAGCAAGCTCCTTTTGATGGTTAACTTATCTTTTGGTGTGTAAAAAATAATGGGTAAAATGGGGGTTTTTCATATTGCAATGTTAATAGGAATTTTCTTTTCATCAATGCTTACAGAATGAAATGGGAAAAAACTTTAGAACTACAAGTCAAGGATTAGGATAGCACATTGATTCTTTATTACAACAAGAAATTTGGTCCATTTTCTGTTTATCAAAATGCAACTGAATAGGAGAGAATAAAAGTGGTCATTTCTGTTGTATTCCTTCACAAATCAATGGTAACTACAACAAAAGCAAGCTTGAGCATGGCTTGCTTGCCTTGAGGTAGATCTGCACATGATCTTATTTGAGCAGTGTTTCTTGCTGCTTCAGTATTCTGAACTTCTTTACTCTTTCAAGGTTTATCCTCTATAGTTGGGACAGGGATTGGTTACCTTTCAATTGGCAAAAGAACAGCATTAAAAAGTTCCAAGTATTGTTTGTCTAGCATTTCCACCAGGAAGTATAAAGTTGGAAACCAAATAACTTGTCCATGAAAGTTTTTACATCAGAAGTTCAAGTGAGTTTAAATCTTGTAGTAATTTTTCTAGATAAGTTGTAGCCTGCATCCATGGGGATCCCAAAATGGGAACAGATGAAGATGCTTTCCAA